GATACATTTGTTAAACAATAAGCTGTTTCAAGTGGTGGACCAATACATAAATCTCCACCATATTGTGGTATTGGATTATTACATTCACGAATCTATTATATAGTAAAATTTCAAAAATATTTATATTTAAATTCTAAATAATTTACTCGGGAATAAACACCAATACCACATGTTACACTACATGTTGTAAAATTACTCCAATTACTCCAACCACCATCAACTAAATATATATATGTATATATGAATAGTAGTAAATAATATAAAATTATCTATTTAATTTACTTGGACATGGTCGATTAAGATTACATGTTTCTTCTCGTCTTGTTGGACCTGCACACATAAGACCACCACCAATTGGTGGTGTACAATTACGTGTATAGATTTGTGTACCATTACCACAAATACCAAAACATGATATTGTTAAACCTTTTAAATGTGTAAATAGAAAAAATAAAATAAAATATTATAATACTGAAATATTAATTTTGTTATTTACTCCAATTTCCCCAAATTCCATCAACAGGACAATCAATATTAGTTGAACAATTTTGTATTTCAACTGATGATCCTGTACATTGTTGACCACCATTTGCTGGAGGTGGATTTGCACAAAGACGCTAAATAAACAAATTAAATATTTATCTTATATTTGTATTGACTTAAATCTTATTACTCAACATACTGTACGTGATCTTTTACCATCTCCACAAGTACCACTACATGTTGAAAAATTTGTCCAAGTTGTCCAATTACCATTGATTGGACATGGTTGTGTAGAATTACATGATGTAATATTAATAGGAGATCCAACACAATAATTACCACCATATTGTGGTAGTGGATTAGTGCATGATCTAATCAGAAAAAAAATGAAATAAATTAAACAATGATTTCGACAATAACAACAACAAAGAAAAAGATAAACCTTGTTTGTATTCGTATACCCGTTCCACATGTACTAGAACATGGACCCCATGATGACCATGTAGAATAACCTCCATTAGCTGTTTATGAATAGAATACCAAACAAAATATTAATAACTAACATGATAGATAAATTAAACTTACTTGCATTATATGGAAAGCCTAAAAAAAGAAAAAAAAATTAAATGCGAAAAAAAAAAAAATTCTAACTTACTAGAACAACTAACATTTGTATCACATAGTTGTGTGTCCAATACTGAACCCAAACAAACACCACCATTTGATGCACCCGTACAATTACGTGTTCCTATAAAAGAAAATATCATTAAATAAAATTTTATTTTTTTTTTTGTTGTTGAAAATAACATACGATATACTGTAGCTGTACCACATGTTGCTGGACATGAAGACCAACTAGACCAGCTAGTCCAATCTCCATCAACTATTCGAAAATTTGTTTTGTTTTTTTTTTGAAATACTTTTTCATAAAACAACAATTTGACATACTTGGACAAACAACACTTGTATTACAAGTTGTTGTATTTATTGCTTCACCAACACAACCAAAACCAGCACCAAGACAAGTTCGTGTTTGATATTGATAACCAATACCACATGATACAGAACATGTACTCCAACTTGTCCAATTACTCCAATAACCAATAGCTAATTTAAATAAATTTATTTTTCTGTTTTTTTTTTCTTTTTCTAAAGTTTATTTATCTATACAAACCATCACATTGATAAGATTCATTATATCCTGAACAATTTTGAAATTGAAGTCCATAACCAATACATGATAATCCACCAGATGTTTGATTAATACAATTACGTCGACTAGCTCTCAAACCAGGAGAACAAATCGATGAACATGGTGAATAAGTACTATATGTAGTCCATGCTCCATTGACTAAAAAATCAAATATTATAATAATTATTTGATAAAATTAATTAAAAATTAATATAAATAATATCATACTCGGACAAGCTCCAGCATAACAAGCTGTTACATTAGTACTTGATCCATTACAAGAAGCTGAACCAGATGCACCAGACGATGTTCTTGTACAATTTCTATAGGCTGTACGTGTACCATTACCACATGTTACACTACATCCACTCCATGTTGACCAACTTGACCAAATATCCGTACTAGGACATGTTATATTAGTTGAACAATTAACTAATTGTACGCCTGAACCAGAACAATATAAACCTCCATTTTGTGGTGTTGGATTTGTACAAGTACGATATCTAATAAAGAAGAAATTTTATACTTTACAAATTAAAATTTGTAACTTACTGTGGTCGTGAACCATTGCCACTAAGAAAAAACAAAATTATACATTCTATGAGATATCAATTCAAAAAATAAAAGCATACATACCAAGTTGCTGAACAAACAACTGGAATAGGATTTTGCCAATCAGTCCAACCGCCATTGACTATAAAATGAATTATAAAAATATACATACCAACAATGAGTCCAAGAAAAAAAAGATAACAAGAAATGAAACTTACCTGATGTTGGTATTACACCTATAAAAACCAAATCAAATAAATAAAATTTTTTATATTTTTCAATGTTTCACGTACTTGTATTACAAATAGTACCAATTTGTTCAATAATACCACCTGAATTACATATATATGTACTACAAGTTTCATTCCAAACTTGATTTAACTATACAACACAAATAGAATTAAAAACAAAAAAGAAACAAAATAATGTTTTGAATATATTTATTATTACCGTATGATAACCACCTATAGAATCGAGACAACCACAATTACATTCTTGTATACATTGTCCACCAATAGAATCTCGAAAGTAACCCGCATCACATACACATCCAACAGAACGTACTGTACAACTTAAATTACCAGCACGATTTTGACATGTAACACCACAATCTGTATAATTTCGTTCAATATGACTATTAATTGGACATAAATCTAGTAAAAACAAAAGAACGAACGATTTGTTTCTATAAAATACTCAAAAAAAAATGTCAATAAGTTACAAACCAGGACATGCAGGTAGTTCTGTACAAGATTCTGATATAACATCACTACCATCACATGTACCACATGGTTGATTATCATTTGTCAAACATTGACGTGTTCGTAATCGAAAACCAGTATTACATGATGCTGAACATGGTAATATAGTGAAATTTGTCCATGTACAATATGGACATGGACCACGTATACAATCCATTGTTTGAATTTCAGTTGATAAATAAGATGTTTCCCAACAAGTATCACAAGTATCTGTTGTATTTGATATACAATTTCTTGACTAGAATAAAATAGAATATGATTTGAGAAAATAAAATTTTTGAAATTAATAATTATTACTCGTGAATATGTACCATTTCCACTAAAAGACATAAAAGAAAAGCTTTATTCTTATAGAAAAAAAAAATTTAATTTCAAATACCAAGTTACACTACAAGCCCAACTAGACCATGTTGTTACATAACAACTTTGACAAGAGACAACTTCTAAAAAAAAAATTAATATTAATAATAAAACTTTCAGAATATTATATAATTGAAATTAAATATACCGATCAATAAAGTAATGACAAACAATAGTAGAAGAATCTTGAAAGTCATTTGATTCAACAAAACTTTGAAATGCTGTTGTGGATGTAAAAATCAAAGTTTTAAGCTTGCTTTGATGTTTGTCTACTTATTCAAGTGAGTCGATGTTTTTTGTTTTTTGATTAACTCAGTTGCGAACGACCACTTGAAAGCTGAGTCTAAAAAACATCACACGAACTCACATATTAATGACCTTGAAAAATATTAAACGAACAAAAAATAAACGAGAAAAACTAAAAAGGCGTAGGAGGTAATAAAAAAAAAAAGAATATATAAATCAAAATAACATATATAAGAAAAATTTTCTATTGATCAGAGACAAAAAAAAAAAGAAATCGATCGATTGTATCACTATGAAACGAGAAAAACGTATATATAGCATCCTATGAGAGAAATCATGATCAAAGTGAAGAATAGAAACCATCTAAATGCAATCAAAATGAAATTAAGATAGAGTGAAACCAAATCAATTCTATATGCTACTTTCAATCGGTTACATAATTACATATATGTAAACATTCCATTGATTATACTTTTCCATATTCTTCTTTTTTTTTTTTTCTTTTTATTGAAAAGAAATGAAAGTTTACATAAATAATAATACGTGTTCTATAGAAAAAAAAAGAAAAGGAAACGATTAATTTGTTGAATATAATGTTAAAAATTTTGTTGACTACTTGTATTTTTTGTTTTGAAAGAAACAAATAATTGATTTAGTTCGTTTTCATTATAATGTTCTTTTTTGAGTTGTTTTAAAATACAAATAAGAAGGCGTTGTCGCTTTTTTGTTTATGAAACAAATGTTAACATCTCTTTTGCTGTCGAACAATATACATGCACATATATATATATACACAAGTAGTCACTGTTGTTTCTTTTATAAAAATTTAGTTAAAGCACATAGAAACATATTATTCATTATTTTGAAAAACTAGAAAACTGAAGTTATTTTTCTTTTTATTTTTGAAATCATACATCAACAAATAGATTTTTAAAAACAACACATATTTAACAAATTAATTATGCAACCATATCCATATGCTGGCTATTCAAATGCAAACGGTGCAACAATACCCGTTGGTTATATGGCACCATATAATTATCAACCAAATGGTGCACCATTGGTCAACAAACCTTCTGATCGTCATGCTGGAAAATCATCATCCATTCGTCCTTCTCAATATACATCACATTATCCATCAAACACTGTTCCACCTGGATATAGATCAGGATATCCTCCAACAGGTTTTCCACCACAGCCTATATCAACTATGATGCCTGGTATGCCTCCCAATCAACCGTATTATTATCCTTCTAATGGATTGAATCCTACAGTACCACCACCTGGTACAAAAACAAAGACAAATGGATATACAATGGGATCAGATGGTACACAAAATGAAGCAATTAAAGGTCTTGTTTCTAATAGTAATATCAATGATTTATTAAATCATCAAGGTACAAAAGTTAAAGTATCAAAAATTTATCGAATAACAAAAACAAAACCTGATATTCATAAAAATGATTCAAGTGATGATGATTTAGAAAAATTACCATCTGTATCAGCTCGAACAGGAACAACTAAACCAGCAACACAACCACCAGTATCAGCTCAACGTATACCATCAGTTGCATCTAGTTGTAGTCATTGTTCAACATGTAGTAATTGTTCATGTTCGGAATGTCGTAATCAAGAACAAGGAAATTATCATGATGATTGTTCAGAATGTCGTGCAGAACGAGCACGTGAACAAGCACAACGACAAAATCGTAAATAATCATTTTTTTTTTAGAATTTTCTATGTATAATCTTGTATATTTTACAAACATGGAAATAAAATAAAATAAAATATTTTATATTATATATTAGTCAAGTAATTTTACTCTTATATAGCAACAAGTTTATTTTTTTATATGTTAACGAATGAATAAAAATACGTGATTATTTCATAGAAAAATTTCAAGCAGAAAAAAAGAAAATCTTTGTCACACTCAAAGGTGCAGATATATTGAAATATTTATTTGAAAAGTAACATCGAAACTACTAAACTCCTCGAAAGTTCACAATTTGTTTTCAAAAAAACAAAAACAAATTATTTCACTTCTCCTAACTAAATAGCTTTTTAACTATTTTAAGTTATTCTTTTGAAAAGCTGTTTTTTTCTTGGATTCTATAAAAAATTACACAGATTATAACTGAAAGAGATATTCAAAAAAAAACTGACTAGATATTTCTTTACAGAAAACAAGTAAACAAAAAATAATTTTGATAAACTTTTTTCAATATGTTTACCATTGTGGCAATGCAAAATGAGTGTGATTTCTATATGAAACAAATTTTCGATATTACTCTTCAAATATATTTGCTCGATACCTCTACACTTTTAAGTATGACAAAAATACAAAACAAAATAAGATAAAATAAAACGAATTGATATCGTTTATCAAAAAATGATTATGTTCACAATATCAAAACAAATTGATTGTAGAAATTTTTGAAAACAAAAAGTTCACAATTAAAATAAGTTTTATTTTATGAATTTTTAGAGCTTTTCATGTTGTATTTTCTAATAAAATGTATTCAGAAATTAAAATATGAAATACAAGTTGCGACTATTTTGCAAGCAAATAATGAAAACATTATTAAGTCGATCGAAGCAAGTTATGAACCAAAATGGAGTACATATACATAAATATTGACTTATATCTTCTTTATGTTTAAAGAATTTAGATTATTAAATCTAGTTCAATTCACTGTTTTTTTTTTATTTAACATTCTTGATAAAATACGTTATTTGTATTGCTGTGACTATAAGAGATATAAAGCTCAAAATCTAGTATACAGTAGATAGGCTATAAATATCAGTGTATTCTATTGCAAAAAAAAACAAATGAGAAAAGAACATCATTTGAAAGAATCAAAACTTATTAGACATGTTTGATGCATGAATATGTTATTAGAAGAAAACTTGTGTAATTATTCAAATAGAAATTATCCAATTTTACAAATCAATAAATATTAATTTTTTCATTGTGATAATGTGTCTGTTATTCTAATTGTAGGAAGAAGTGGGTGACTGTTATGAATAGCATAGTACTCAACCAGTCAACAGTTAATAATTTGATATCAAACTTGTTTTTTTTTTTCTTTCTAGAAAGATCATCAGTTATGGTTTATTTTTAATTTAAAACTAACGAAAAGCAATAACAACAATAAATATAATTTTAGCTTTTTTTTTTATTAACAATAATCAGAACAAACAACACTTATTTATGTCTGCTCGTATTGTGAGAAGGTATTGCTCATTGTGTTTAGTTATTAATAAAACAAAAGTCTGAATTTTATTTGCTGTTGTTAATATCTTTGTTGGTTTTGAGTTAAACATAAATTATTTCTAATAATCTTTCTAAAATAGAACAAAAGTTTGATATCAAATGATATGTCATTGACTGATTTAGCACAATGCTATTCATTTCCTACTAAAACTTTTACTATTTATTGGCGACACAGAGAGCTTCTGTTATTTTAATTATTAAGCAGAAAAATATTATCCTTTTTTTATAGTATACTATTCATAAAATTTTTATTGATAGTACACGATGTTTTTCAATCTCTTTCTTACGACTCAAGGTACAACATACATAATATATGTCCATTGCTTATTGATATAATTAAATACATTCGCTAAATAGAGAGCCCTTCCATATGACAAGACATCCTTAAAAAAACGAAGCAGCAAACATAATAGAATACTTCTCCTCTCTCTTCTTTAATTAATTGTTTTCTCGAAAAATTGAAACATTATTTAGAAAATTCACATTAAAATACATCTATTTTTTAGGATATCGAGTCAAAAACAGAAAACGACTGAAAAATGCTTTCTTTTTTCAGTCACCTTTCTTTTCCCATTAAATCAAATGTTTATTTCACAACATAGAAAACAAACAAATGTTAAATAGATTTTAATTTAGTTATTTAAATTGGATCCATATTTCAGACATCTCCAAACATTTTCCATTTCCACAATGAAAATAATTTTATAAATTCTCGTCGATATATTCGAGATGACATTGTATTGACATAAAAATTTGTTGCATAACTAGCAAATAGTGGGAGTGTCAAAATTCTTAAAAAGAAACTATATGTCAATGTATTTCTATTAACAAACATACCAAGAAGATTAATAATAGCAAATGGTAATATACATAAAATTTGTGTTATAAGATGTGAAAATAATATTCGAATTAAATTATGATTAAGACGCCGATTAAGATTACCCGATATTGCTAATGCTGGCCTAATTTGACGTAATTGACGATGAATATTAATTGCTGTAAGTAAACATAATAAACTCATACAAATAGATGGAGAGAAACAATAGATAACTAAATAAAATATTCTCCAAAATGAATCATAAATTCCCTGTTGAGGATAACATATTACATTTGATTCATTTGATTGAATTTCAAAAAATACCGGCATATGCAAGTAAAGAATAGCAGCTAGAGTAATTGCTCCATAAATACAACGTTTTGCTATTTTTTTATTATTCCAAGGATGATGTATTATTGATGATGAACTCGAACAATATCGATCAAAACAAGCTAATATAAAAAGAAAAGGTGATAAAGATAAAGCCATATAACCAAAATAAGATCTTAATTTACAAACAATTGGTGATAAAGATCCAATATCAATAGAGAATCCATCAATAAGAAGTCTATGGAGCACTGATAAATAAATTGCTAGAATATTGTCAATTGAAGCAGCAATAAAATATAATGTACATGATGAATGTAAAAGTTTTGGACGAGTAAAGATAAATAAATCAAGAATATTACCTATTGTTCCGAAAACCATCAATAAAATCAAAACACTTCTTGTTAATTGTACAGCAATATCCGGCAACATGTTTAATAAACTAAATACATAAGATTCTTTATGATATGTTAAAAAATATGAAAATGATAATAAATAATATCTAGCTTCGCTTTAATAACTCCTTTCCGAAAAGAAAAAAAGATTTTTTCACCTTTCTTTACAGAAAACTTAAACATCTTATCTTTTTTTCTGATTTAATCTTAGTGGCAAAATTGAAGCACAACTTATTATGAAGTGTTATAGAGAAACAGCAAAACAGTTTGATGAAAAAGTAGGTTAATTTATTGATTTTTGACACATGAATTATTAATTAGTGAAGTGAATGGTGCTTGTAACATTCTTTGATAAAAATCTTCTTCTGTTGACAATTTCTATTCATTAAATATCACGAATAACAATAGAAAGCAGGTGTGCCGAACAATACAAAAATAAATGGTAAATTATTTATGCTGAAGAAGATCGAAAAGTATTTTAGAAAGAAAGGATGATCACTCACAGTGTTCCTCCATCCGTCTAAATTCAACAGTGAGCATCTGAAGAGGCACCTCTGAAAAAAAGAGAACTGTACAGCTACATTTCTAGGTATAGAGGAGACTTTCAAGGTTTTTTTTACAAAGTTAAAGTTCATAGATAATTCAACACATGAAAATTTTTTATTGTTAATCTTTGAAACATAAAAGATAGGAGTGCCTGTTAAATTGTTTGAATTTTTTATGTTATTCTAGATTTTTCACCATTCAAATATCAGTGTCTTATCTTATAAATATTAGTGTGACATTATTTGAATAAGAGAGATAAATAGAAAACACGAAATTTTCATTATTGCATCTAAAAGGACGGGAGAGGAGACATTAGGACCGATTTTGCATAACTTAATTTTGTAATATCTCAGTAGATAAAAATGAACGTATCTCCAAAACTTCAGTGCTAGTAAAGTACGTGATCAGCCACAAGAAAATTTATAATTTATTCGCGACAAGGTTTAAGCACATGTTCGGAGTTGAGATTTTTTTTGTATGTGAAAATGGTCATGTTTTAACTGATGTTAGCTAACTATCGATCGACTACTTAGTCGAAAAAATTCATTCCTACTTCCGCTCAGGGTTCAATCACAGAAGAAAGTTGATCATAGTGCTATCTTCAATGCGTAGTCATCTGCCTTTTTATGCTGTGCTATGATTTTACAAGATCCAAATTTGTTTTCAACTATTCGAATGAAATTTTGATTGACTGAACCGTTCAGAAAGTCAGAGGTCAATATTTCGACGAAAATAAAAGTTGTCCGAACAATGTAAAACACATATAGATTGACCCCATTTTGATGTTGACTTCAAATATGTCATATTTTGACTAGAAAAATAATTACCGTGACAATAATTAGCAAATTCTACTCGAAAAATAGATACTTTCACATATCTAAAAAAAATGATCTCAACACCGAAAATATAGCTAAAATTTTGTAGTACGTCATGTATCTTAATGACACTGAAACTTTGGCAATATGTTCACTTCTATTTCAAAAGAAAATTAAGTGAGCCGAAACAGGTTCTTACATGCTCTTATCCTGTTTATTTTCAGAAAAACTTCTAGCGTTTAACTTTATGAGTCAAAACTGAAAAGCTTCCTCTATTATCAGAAAAAAATAAACCTAATTTAATTTAATCGCAATAGAAATGTCTAGATTTCTTGTTGGTGGATAACTTCTCAACCTTTTTCTTACTACTCTAGGTATAACAGACGTTAAGACGTCTATTTTTATTAGCTGGTGAGTCGATACAAGAATAAATTTTGAATAAAGATCAATCGCTTTATTTTCATATAGATTTAATTCATAATTCGTATTTCTATTTCCGTTACATAAAATGTTTATTTCATAATAGAAAAAAAAGAAACAAGTATTTAATAGATCTTAATTCACATATTTATATTCGACATATATTTCTATATTCTCTAAACATGTCCAATATAGTTTTGATTTTTTTAATATTCATTTACAAATTGCGAATAATGGAAGTGTTAAAATTCTTAAAAAGAAACATTGATAATAGCAAATGGTAATATACATAAAATTTGTGTTAAAAAAATGTGAAAATAAGATTCGAATCAAATTATGATCCAAACATCGATGAAGATCGCCTACATTTGCTAATGTTGGTCTAATTTGACGTGATTAGCGACGAATATTAATCGCTATAAGTAAACATAATAAACTCATACAAATAGATGGAGAGAAACAATAGATAACTAAATAAAATATTCTCCAAAATGTATCATAAATTCCTTGTTGAGGATAACATATTACATTTGATCCATTTGATTGAATTTCAAAAAAATATTGGCATATGTAATATTATCGATGGTGAACTCGAACAATATCGATAAAAACAAGCTAATATAAAAAGATAAAGCGATAAAGATAAAGTCATATAACCAAAATAAGATCTTAATTTACATATAATTGGTGATAAAGATCCAACATCAATAGAAAATCCATCAATAAGCAATCTAATACTGTATATTAAGCTTCAAGAAATTTTCTGTCTATGTAGTCTGATAGAGAAAAGAATGCTCTATTTTTCTATGCTATTCGATCATACTTCAATTAATATCAGAATAATAAAATTTCGATAAAATCTGTTTCGTTACCATATGTGCTGGTTGTATTAATATTCATTTGAAAAAATACGACTGAGTATTTTTTTGAATAACTTTTGATAGAAACAAGATAAAGAACTGTGGTTTCAACCGTTGGAAAGAGGAGATGAAGACGCATCGAATCATGCATTATAGATTGTCCTGATCTATTTCTTGTAAGGTTTTCAATTGACCTTCTATGAACAAACATATCTGGTAAGTTGTTTACAGTGAATTTTCAATTATCAAGTGTAAATTCAACCCACTAATCGAAAATCTACAAAGTGCGGAAGGCTGAGATGAATAATATACATTCTAGTGGGGCTTCTAGTACGATTTTCTAGCAAAATCTGCGAAACAAGCTCACTTTTGGAGTTTGTCCCTGTTTTCATGAATAAAACATTTTCTCGACGCTTATAAAATTGAATAAAAATACTCCAGAAATGAATATTAGAAAAACCTATAGTATATGATTCGATGCATCTTCATTTCCTCTTTCCAACAGTGAAAACCGTAGCAGCTCTCTATCTTGTCTCTATCAAAAATTATTCAAAAAAAAAAATACTTACTAGCGTTCATGGAACCGTGACACACGTGAACAAAACAGATCTTATCAAAGTTTTATTATTCTGATATTAGTTGAAGTATGATGAAATAGCATAGAAAACTAGAGTATTCTTTTCTCTATCAGACTACATAGAAAGAAAATTTCTTGAAGCTTAATATATAGTATTAAAGTGTCATTACCCGTACTTTTGGTATGCCCTAAGTAATTTGCTATTATTTTCATTCCAATAACATTCTAGATTTCATAGGTGTTTTTCTATGAGCTGGTTGTGGGAAAAGTACGAAGCATTTTTACTTCTGTATAATCGAGAAAATATCTCATTTAAAATTCAGCTGGTATCGACAGAAGTATCCACTAGTCGAAAGTGTGAATTTCAATAGCAACTGAAATGGTATTCGAGGGAACTCAAAGCATTGTACCATGAGGTAGCTTGAAACACTGTCACATATGCCGTTTTCCTGACGAGCTAATCAAAGATGGCACATACAATTCCGATATGTATGTTTCAAACACGGCATTCCACTTGGTTTTCTTGAGTTTTTGATTTCTGAACAATGAGTTTATCTCATTTTATTTTGTACATTTTGATGTTGCACATGATAAAATAAATTTTTGCCTGACGTATTCCAGTATCGTTTTTTTTTCAAATAATGAATCTTCATCACCTATTCGAAATATATTAAGTTAACAATTTTTTTAATTTTTCATGTAAATTAACCAATATCTTTTTGATAATCCCATTGATATGAAATTATTATTTGTGGATGAGTAACAACAAGTGGTATATCATCTTCAATTGTAGTTTTATCTTTACCATCATTTGCTGCTTGTGATTGACGAAAGATTAAATTATCAACACATGATACGAACCAATCTATCTTTTGTCCCCAAAATCGTCAATAAAATCAAAGCAATTCTTGTAAAACGTACAGCAATATCAAGTAACATATTCAATAAGTCAAAAGGAATGAGATTGTATGTAACATGTCGAAAATATAAAAATGATAGTAAAATATATAGCTTTGTTTTAATAATTCTCTTCTTGAAAGAAACAATGTTTTTTTTCTCTTTTTTTATTACAGAAAACTAAAGAGTCTTGTTTTCTTCTGATATTCTTTAAATACAACATTGAAGCATAAATTATTATAGAGTATTACAAATAAATAGACACGATCTAGCTGAAAACTACACTAATATGTATCTGTATAGTTTTTGACCTGTACATCAAAACTACTTTTGAATTGTATTTTACAAAAGCTACAGCAAAACGTCTTCAAGAGGATTCAGGATTGAAGTCTTTGTTGTTTCTCTATCGTGTAAGCTTTAACTTTATATATAAAAGCTTTGAACTCTCATTCATCACAGTGTCATGCAACTTAGTTCGGCTTGGAGCATGACTTCGTGTACAAACATGACTAGTTACTTAGGATGTCAGGCATTAAAAAAAAGTGTAAGTTGAAGTCCAAGTATGACATTATACTTTGACTCGACTCGACAATTAATGAAATCTTGACACGCCAACATATTTTTACTGTTTCTAACTGTTTATTTAAATAAAGGACAGGAGCGAAAACTTATATTGTTTTAGTAAAAGATTTCACTTTTCATGAAAACTCATCTACGGTTGATAATGAACAATGTAATAACGTGAATGCATGCATGAAGATAAAAGATGAATTATCAAAAAGGTGAACATATATTATCGTGATAGAAAAAGCATTGATCTATATATTCACAATTATAACATTTGGCACTGATATTAGGTTCTATTCCAGGGTGACCAGCAACACGTAATAATATACTTGAAAAAATAGATTGGATTGCAGCA